CCAATCTCTGTTACCTTAAATTACTATGTTTATCTCTGTAAAGCTGCTTTGAAACAATCTACATTGTTAAAAGCGCTATATAAATGAGGATGACTTGACTTGACTTGACGTTCGAAGTATTGTCAAACAAAACGGAGGCTAGCTAGACCCTCCCTCCTCCTCATCCCGTCCCCTCCCCCTGTAGTTTTACTGATACTTCATTCAATGTGTAATGTCGCCAAGTTAGATAAATGCTTTCATATAATGCAGAAAAAGAGAAACATACCAGAAAAACACGATAAAACGTTTCGCCACCTGAGGTTATAACTAGCTCCCTTACAAGGACGCAATAATAGCAAGATAACGTTAGCTTTGCGTTTCCCAGTGAGCAACGTCTCCGTCGTAAACAAATTTAGTCAAAGTTGTCAATAGGCTATGAATGAACATTCAAATTCATAACAAAGAATGGGTGAAAACAATCATTCACACAAACTGTCGCCCTACTGTGAGTTTGCTTGATCATTTAGAATAGAGATCGATAGCTAGCTGCTGGAAACCTATATTGTATTCACCAAAGTTAGCGCTGACTGCATAGTTCTAGCTAATTTTATATCCTTGTGTATGTTAGGCGAACATGAAAGTCCATTTAGAAACACCAAACTGAATTTACCCACCTGTCCAGCAAAAACAGAGCTACCTGAATGTCGGATTGGAAGCCCTTCTGCCGGCGGAGATCTCGCCACCTTTCAAAGGCTTTTCCAATGTAAATTTGGGACTTTGCGCGTTCCTTCTCCTTTTCCCTCTTCTTTGCATTTTTGCAATCTGTTCATCGGAGCGTCGTCTCTTTGGTCGTGTGTCGGCCATATCAAACTTAAAGAGTTATAATTCTAACTTCCCTCTCCATGCTTCTCTCTCCTCCACACCCCCCTTCATGTGCACGCGCACTAACCCCATACCCAAACCCTTCTAGTCGGTTATTGGCTGGAACACTGTTTGTTATGTTTCGTGGAGCGGGTTGCCACAGTTTGTTTTTGTTGCCGTTTGTGGAGCCTGGGGTGTCTGCAGAGACCGCGTTTTTTTACAGTGTGTTCAGGGGACAGGCAGCTAGCGGATAGTGAGGAGATGTTTGCTGTATGTGACAAAAAAGGTTTTGGCCTAAAAAACGCGTGACATCGCTTAGAGCAGCTTTAAGATGCGTTTTGGTCGATCGAATCGCAGGTAGATGAGGGAGACACATTCTCGTTTACACCTGGTGTTTTAATCCGTCTCTTTTGTCCACTTTCAACCACTTTATTTCTTCGAGGGGAGGGTCTATTGGCGGGTAAATGTAAGAGCTTTTTCAGATCTTTCGATCAAATGGACAAAAAAATGTTGACAAATGTGAATGAGATAACTTCTTGCGACGACAAACACTACAGATACATTCACCTCAGAGAAGTACATGGGCCCTATTTTAACGATCTGAAACGCAAGTGTCAAAGCGCAAGTAACTTTGTGGCCGGATCCCGGTGCTGTTGCTATTTTCCCGGCGGGATAAATGCCTCTTGCGCTTGGCGCAAATCTAAAAGGGGTTGGTCTGAAATAGCTTCATTATTCATAGGTGTGGTTTGGGCGTAACGTGAAATAAACCAATCAGAGCGTCATCTCACATTCCCTTTAAGAGCAGGTGCACATGTTGCATGGCGGATTGCTATTATAACGGCGGATTTACCAGGCGCGCGCCAGGAGCGGTTCACAGCCGAGGAGACCGACGTTCTTGTCAGGACCGTGAAAGACAGAGAAGTGATGTTGTATGGGGATGGGAGAAACCCACCCAAATCAGTGTCGGTTAAACAGGCGTGGGAGGAAAGAAACTACATTTTTTACATCTTCATGGACACCACAATGATTTCCCTCATGTGTTAATATTTTTCCTTGTTATAATGTATGATTTGCAAAAATAAAAACTGCTGCATCTGTGTTGATGAGAGAATCAAAGTGTATGCGCATTGTGCACCCGCTACATTATGGCCAAGCATGTGCGCTTAAAATAGCATTATGAACAACTTGCAACAATTGTTTTATAGAACAGCAAAATAGCATGAGGGAAAGTTTGCGCCGGAACACGCCTCCTCTTTGCGCTGAACCGCCCCGGGGAGCGCAAGTGTATTTCTTAGTTAACCGACGTGTGTCTGTGGAGGGAAAAGTCCGCTTTGCGCGGGTGCAAAATAGGAATGATACATGCGTCAGTGTACAAAGTCATTTGCGCCGGGTGCAAGATAGAGCCCATGATTTGTATTTCATGTGTTTTTGTTCATCTTGATTTCTCAAAGCTTGTGTGCTTTTTCTGGGCGAGATGGAGTGAATTGTGGCACGTCGTGCAGCTGTGCAGAGAAGACCAACGGGCAAGGTCAAGAATTTCGTTAAATAATACATTAAATTTCAGTTTGTTTTTCATCAAACCCTATTGTATACCCCCAGAACACTCCGGCTATGGATTTCCCCCTCCCCTTCTACTCAGACTTGCCAGTTTTCCAAACGATTGTCATTACATTGGCAGATTCGGCACATTTGGGCAGTGTTAGTTCCGACTTCAGTAATATTTGATGGTGTTACAATGGTGAAATTACTGTAAAGTGTAATGTGTAAAGAAATACACATTCTGAGACATGGAATTAATAATTCTGGGTAGGCTGTGCCTCCCCTAATGAGCTGCCACTACCATTTACTCTTTGAATACATTTTTTTCCAAAGATAGTTTCTGTCGATTTAGTATCACGGTGATGTATGTTCAAGCAAGCATTTATTTTTCAAATAACTTTGGTTATAAATAGGTGTAACGTCATGATTGACAGCTTTGCTTGCGTTTGAGTCTTTGGGCGCGGGACCTTGATACCGCGGCTTCACCCCACGATCACTACTACGCTGACTCGGACTCCAAATGACGTCAACTGCCATTTCTGGGACATTTTGGCTTCACTTTTTGACAGTGAAAGGAAATGGAGATCCTTCTTCCATCTTTTTTTACAGTCTATGGTAAACCTGGAAATATCAGGCAAGGAAATGAAAAGCACAATTTTCAAATTGTGCTTTTCCTTTTCTTGAGAGAAACAGGGAAATTAATAACATTTAACAAGAGATAGAAAAGTTTCGTACTGAATGTAGAGAATGTTTCTAGTCATGCTCAACTCTGAACTATTTCCGCTGATAAAATTGTTCTTTGTTAGTGCAATCTATATATATATAAACTCAAATGAAGTGGATGATTTAGATTGTTTAGTAACTTGTGATCATAGACAATAACTGAAATCTCTATTAAGGACATCTGAGCAATTTTCCGCAATTACCTTGCTTGAAATAGTTATACTTTAAAAGCGGATTTCATAATTGCTGCAATTCCCAAACCATTAGTGATAAAGCAACAGCAATCATCTTGAAAAAATATATAATTCCTGGGGTCCAAATAATACAGTTCCAGACATTTTAAAGTTGGATAGTGCCTTTGGGTTGATTTTAAGATCCTTCATATGACATATGTACAGAATCGTGTGTTTATCACTGCAGGAGTGCAGTATTCATAGAATGCTTAAATTACACCATCTATGGAACTACAAAATATGTTTTTGGACACAAGTTACAGGCATAAAAGCCCAGTAAAAACAGCTGATGATGGTCAAACTAGAATAAATGGACATAAACATCAGATTTGACTTTGTTTTCTACTATGTGAGATGTTTTGTATTTATCATCATATTAATGCACAGCTTGTCAGCAAAAATGACACCTCTATTACTCACTTTAAATTGCAACAGGCAGGATGAATACATGACCTCAAATTGAATATTAAAGCTACTTTCCTGCTACACTTTCTTTGCTACTTTACTCATCTGTTTCTCCTTATAAAGCTAAATGTTATATGTCAGAATCCAGTATTGTGCTTTCCATAAACGAGTTAAAAGAACATTACAGTTCTCAGTTCTTTTGGTAAACATGTGAATTAAAACAATACATCTAACTATTCAAATTAGAAAGCGGTGGCATCTTCCTCGAGACAAAGATATTCCTTTTATATTGTTTTCATGTCTGTCATCAAGGAAGATTTAGTTAAAAAGGTGATTTCACTTTGTTTTAGCTGGTTTATCATATCAAGGGAGTAATGCTGTAACTAGCTAATAAAGGTTTGCTAAATACAGGTCTTATAAAGTTCAGTCTGTAATCGTTTTAACTGTCAGACTATCACTTGTTTATGACATTTGAATAACAACACTAATGTGCATCTGTTATATCTTCTGCAATCTCGAAAATAATCAAATGTTTTTGGCTTCAGTAAACATCTTGGATAACAGCCATAGCAATTCCCTTAACAAGAATAATGAAGAAACTGCATTGCTGATGTTCTGAGGCGCCAGCCATCCTCTCATAATGCATGTTCAGTGCATTCTCTGGCTTGAAAGGATCATTTCAGAAAAACCACTCATAAACGTGTTACTTAACTAAAACATGTGAGACCGTTTCATCAGACAAGTTTGACAGCTTAAACTATTGGTCGGTCATCTTGAAGAGGTCGATCTCATTTTCAGAGCATCGTTTTTAGTGCAAGTCATCAACTAAAATCAAATGCAAATTCAAGCACTAAGCATCTCACAATTTATTAGTGATGCAACATGCCAACTTCAATGTTGAATGCTACAAATCGTATATGAGGTTAAAATTATCTAATGATAAGTGATATTACAGAGTGGAAAATTTTCAAATCTGACAAGCATTTGCTATCTCTCTGAGCTCATTTATTCGAAATGGAGAGTCATAATATGATATTATGTTCAATGCAGCAAATGCTCTTTCCCTCTCATGTTCATTTATGATGCGCATTAGAATGCATCACAATGGCGAGAATGGACAATGGATATTGTGTTTATTGCTTAGGAATGATGTCATTTCATATTTGGACTTATATGCGCATAATGGTTCTCTTGCTGAAATCACTCCACAATATCATCTAAATAAGATTGTCATGGAAATGTCTGTATCTGTGTTTGCAGGAATGCCCCAGTGGTGTGGTCAATGAAGACACATTTAAGGAAATTTACTCTCAGTTCTTTCCACAGGGAGGTGAGTGTGTTTAAAGTTATCTATTCTCTAGTACTATTTCCTTTACAGTTACACCACATACAGTACAGTGTGATTTTTAATATAACCTGATCTGACCTTTTATTATACTTTGTTGGTGTAACCTGGAGTACTGGATTTACTTTAAAACAATTATTTTCTTAAGGATTGCTGGTAAATTTCACAAATAATTAAAGTTACACATTGAGTTAAACTCTTATAAATACTTGTGCATTTAACAGTTTTAATGCACACCTTCCAGCCAATCATAATCGAGTATTCAGACAGACCATGGTATAAAACGTTTAATGCACATGTAGTTCCAGTCAGTTTAATAATCGTTCTATATTAATGCACTCGCACACAGAGATTGGAGATTTAGCTGCGCGCACAGAAACATTCGGGAGCACAGAAATTTCTCAACGCTGCCCCGAAATATCTTCGCTACTGAAACGCTATATTATATTTCTTAGCAGAGAGGGGGTAACATTGCTGTTTTTGAACCTCACAGCTTCACTATTAGTAGAAAGATGCTGCACAGACGCAGGTAATTCACACACACGTCTCTCTCACTCTCTCTGTCGATAATTAACTCACATAAATGTTGTATTTCATTCATTCAAATAAATGTAATTTTACTGCACTACTTTGTTGCTGTGTCTGATTCAAAGCGAACAGAATGCTAGATCTAACAAGATGTAACTGACGAAAATAACCGTTATTTTTACCCTTTCCGGTCAAATAATGTGCTGCAAACATCAGTAACAGCTTTAACTTGTCAGTGCTGGCAAATGACCATGATAGCTATAAGTAGGGGTAATCCAAGGCTAACTGTGCATTAAACTATTTGACTATCATGTCGGGCAATTCTTTGAATCATTTAATGCATACGCTAGCTGTGAATTATTCCTTAAATAATATAATATATTGTTTTGTTATTGATAGTGTAAGGGGATTGATATGTCTTCAACCTAGAAACTGTATAACATAAAATAGAAATCAAACATGAATTTATAGGACTAAAAAGCCCCAGATGGGAGTTTCTCCTCATCATTTCAGGAGTCCACCACACACACACCACTGATCTGAATAGAAGTCTCTCAGAGGAAATGGTGATTCTCTTCTCTTTCGAGTCACATGATTTGTGCACAGTCGAAGGAGTAGTTTTATAATTATAGGTTTGAGCTTCTCTACATCATTTGTTAGGGTTTGTGACAAATCTCTCTCACGTGACCCTACTCATTTCCTGCACATTCACATACACACACTATTTGTATTATTTATAGTATAATGGGTCGTAGCTTGTGCAAGCTTACACATCCCCTTGGTTGTTGAACATAATTAGCTGTGCAATGAGTTAATGGCATTGCTGTGACTGAAGCTGAGCAGTTTCCTGGTTTATTTTTCAGATGCATCAACGTATGCACATTTTCTGTTCGATGCATTCGACACCGACCACAATGGCTCTGTCAGTTTTGAGGTAAGTACTAATACTAATGGACCATTCTGACTGAATGCAATCTCTCTTGCATGCATGGCATTAATAGTAAACCTAATAATACAGCATGTATATTGAATTGCAGTTTCACATTTGGACACACACACACATATCTCTCTCTCTCTATATATATATATATATATATATATATGTGTGTGTGTGTGTGATGTTATGTTATTTTGTTCCGTTGTATATTCAGAATCGTGTGAGAATAGTGATCTCTATTTTAAAATGTGAAAAAAAAATCTATCTCAATTCTCAATCAAGAATCGTGCAGCTCTACCAGACAGAGCACCTAAATACTCTTTCCCCTATTGATTTTAACCTAAAATCCTGAAAAACAAAACCTCTGGCATGTTATGCACCAACTACCCATAAACACAATTGGAGCTATTACAGAAGTAAATGATTTGTTCAAGTTTCATCAATGTCTTGACTGACAACATATTGTGCAATTTGTATCTTACTGAGACATTATTCAAACACCACTGAACCTTCAATTTGCACATAACGAGGAATTCATTCTTTGGCTATAAACAAACATCGCTGGTCCCCAGCGATACAGTAATTAAACTAAATGAGAATATCCTCATCTTGCTTTTTAATAACAACGCTTGGCTTGTCCTTTAGCCGTTTAGCTACCACTAAGACTTATTTTGTCATATCTGGTCATTAAAAACCTTGAACGCTCATGTGAAAAGTTCAGCCAGAAAGAATTTCTCTCATCATTTGGCGAAAAATGCTTATGTGGTTATTAAAGACATTTATTTCCATTCACATAAGAGACATGTGAACTCAAACCATTCATTATGCCCTTTGCGTGCCGACTGAATTAGTGAGATAATACAACTATTAAAATACCATGATGTATAATATCATCTTGTGAAATGAATGTTTGTATAGCAGAATAATCATGAATCATGTTCTAGCTGTAAATTACACATTTATGTTGTTATGCAACTAATACTGGTCTTTCATTTTATCACAGGATTTTGTCATGGGTCTTTCCATTCTCTTACGAGGCACCGTTCAAGAGAAGCTTAACTGGGCATTTAACCTGTACGATATTAATAAAGATGGATATATAACAAAAGAGGTAACATGAAGAAAATCAGTAAAACTTTATAATAAGGGTCATTTCATTAACATTCATTAATTTGATAGGTGACATGAACTAACAATGAACAGCCCCAAACCTCTGATGTTTTCAGAAAAGGCCAATGGAATTGTTATGTGGAATTTGCATGTCTGGACACGCCCCTAGACATAAGGGTATATAAGGCAGCCAGCATGCATCATACACTTCAGGTGCCGAGATGGCGTTTCAACCCCTCAATGACAGTTCAAGTTGTGGCAGGAGGGATACAACATCTTGTTCCCTCCACCAGGGAACGGAGGTTACACTAGTAACCGAGACGTATCCTTTCTGTCGCTCACTTCGACGTTGTGTCGAATGAGAGACACAAGGGGTACCTATATTAATTGCCACAAATGTACTATGTCACGAGACATGGCGGTGCAGATGCGGGCAAGCCTCCACGTGCCAACAGCAAGTGCAGCTACGCTAACTCGCAACCTACCAACTCCCAGGGTAAATGACATCAGGTCTCCCTAAGAAGGTGACCTCCTCACTCCAGCCGTAGGGCCTCTTCTCATTCAAAATAAGTTATATTTCGAGGCCGAAATACACCTGGTTGTTAAAATTGAGAAGGATTCTCTTTCTCATTGAGAATGCAACACTACAGAGACCACATCCTACCCAAAAGGGGAGGTAAGTATGTGGAATACATCCTATGGACTCACCAGTGGGGAGTACTACATAGGGAAGAGTCCCTGTGGTGGGCTCCACCTGACGAGGGGGAAACTACCCACCACAGCGACCTGGTGTCGGAGCTAGCTCCGTCTAGGGAAAGACACTGGGTTCACCGACAGGGAAACTGAACAGTGAAAGAATATATCGTATGGATATATTCCCACTGTTAGGGAATCACTACATACCGAGCACTAGCCAAATTACAAGGGCTTATCTGAAAATGGGCATACCACGAGTAATGGGCCTGGTAGTGAGGTCCTCCACCGAACTCATCTACCGTAACAGTGCTTAATGATGGAGAAGGGTGGCCCAGGGTTCACCATTCAAGGGAAACTCTAACTGGACCAGTTGCCCGAATTTTACCTGTTGTTACCTGAGACTCGAGAAGAAACTGGTTCCATAGAGAGATTATAAATCTTGCGAAGGTGTTGGGTGTAGCCCAGCCTGCAGAGCACCGTTCGCCAGAGCTGGCGTAGCTGTGATACTCCAAGTGGAGTGAGCTCTTACTCCCAATGGGCACGGTACACCTTGGGTCTGACAAGCCCGGAGTATGATGTCCATGATCCAATGGGCCAGTCTCTGTTTGGAGACAGACTTCCCCTTCTGCTGGCTTCCAAAGCAGACAAATAGCTGCTAAGATTTCCTAAAGCTCTGCGTGCAGTCCAGGTATATGTGCAAAGCGTGCACCGGACACAGCAAAGACAAACTCTCATCTCTCTCATCAGGAGGGAGTGTAGGACCAGAGAAAGTTCAAAGAAAGGGTAAGGCAAGGTCTTGTAAGATTCAACCTCTGCGCACCTCTCAGGAACCTAACAATCAGGTTGTGCTTCCCCAAAGACCTGCCACCTCACCTTTCGTGGTTACCCGCTATTGTGCTTGAACAGTTTCAAGCAGTTCAGCACTGACTGTTTACAGTCTTGTGAAAGACGTGCTGTCATGACGATCGAGTCCAACTCCACACCGAAAACAAGAAATGCTCTGCACTGTGGAGAGCTTGCTCTTTTCCCAGTTGACCCGAAGTCCCAATCAGGCTAGGTTATCTAGGACCAGGTTCCTGTGTGCACACAAGGATTGCATACTTCGCTAGGAGGACAACGATCTCTGCTCGGAGGACAGCGGCATTCTCGCCTCGTGCTGAGTGTGGCTGATCGCCATTCTCCGACCTCAGGAACCAATCATCCAACCGTGACCGGATGAGTCCACTTAAGCCCAATGCTCGCGGCGACCCATGAAAGCACGGCTACCAACTCTGCGTCAGCCTCAGACTGTACTGTCACACCGAAGGTGGAAGCACAGACGAGTCATCCACATGTCCAGGGGCGTGGCCAGAGATGCAAAAAGAGGTGTCTGTCTCTCATTCGAAACAACGAATGAGTGACAGAAAGGGAATTATTATTACCTAGATTAATAAATGCTGTAATATTTTGCACACTGTAAAAATTATTTTACAATTTTTTTTCAAAACTCTCAGATTTAATTAAGTTTTTCTAGCAATTTCTTTGTAATTGTTTGTGAAATTTACAAGCAATTTCCGAGTGAATTTTTCTAATCTACACCACGATTTTTCCATTTTCCAGTGTATTGTCTGTTCATGATTAAATTAAATCTAATTAAATCTTATTACAAAGTGTTATCAGAAAATCACATGACAAGTGATTATGTAACACCAACAAACAACATGCCTGTCTATTGTTTGGTATTCACAGGAAATGTTAGATATCATAAAGTCTATCTATGACATGATGGGAAGATGCACATATCCCACACTTAAAGAGGAAACTCCACGACAGCATGTGGAGATATTTTTCCAGGTAAGATCGAATATTATCAGTATATTCCATATCTAACTTATTCCATCTTGATTTGTTTTTCAAATAGAATATAGGCTCACACTTTATATTAGGTGCCTTTAACTACTACTACTACTACTACACACACATATAAAGTATATATATGAGCAATATCACACGAGGAGCAGTGCGATATGGCTGTATATCAGCACAACGGTGATATATACAAAACAGTTATTTCAATTGTTAGGTAATCTCAATGTGTTGAATTGCAAAACAATACAGCTATTGAGGGGGGATACGGGTAAGGTTAGGGACAGGTTTGGTGGTATGGGTAGGTTTAAGGGTGGGTTAAGGGAAGTTTAACAGTGTAGAAAAAACAGTGTAACTATAGATGTAATTACAGAAATACTAAAAAATACCTGCATGTAATAACAGCTGTCATTTATGGAAGCTTGTTTCCGCCACTGAATGAAAAATAAAAAAGGTAATTGCGACTTTTTATCTTACAATTCTGACTTTTTTTCTCACAATTGCGAGTTTAGTTTACATCTCGCAATTCTGACTTTATTTCTCAGAATTGCGAGATGTAAAGTCAGAATTGCGTGATATAAAGTCAGAATTGCGAGATATAAAGTCAGAATTGCGTGATATAAAATCGCAATTGCGTGTTATAAAGTCAGAAGTGCGAGATATAGTCAGAATTGCGAGATAAAAAGTCAGAATTGCGAGATATAAAGTCAGAATTGCGTGATATAAAATTGCAATTGCTTGTTATAAAGTCAGAATTGCGAGATATAAAGTCAGAATTGATTGATATAAAGTCGCAATTGCGTGTTATAAAGTCAGAATTGCGAGATATAAAGTCAGAATTGATTGATATAAAGTCGCAATTGCGTGTTATAAAGTCAGAATTGCGAGATATAAAGTCAGAATTGATTGATATCAAGTCGAAATTGCGTGTTGTAAAATCAGAATTGTGAGATATAAACTATTCTGAGGGGGAAAAAGTTAGTCTTTTTCCCCCCTTAGAATTGGCCTGATAACTCGCAATTGCGAGTTTATATCTTACAATTCTGAGAAAAGATGTCAGAATTTCGAGATATAAACTCGCAATTATGTGTTATTAAGTCAGAATTGCGAGATGTAAACTCGCAATTGTGAGAAAAAAAGTCAGAATTGTGAGATAAAAAGTCGCAATTCTGTCTTTTTTTCTCGCAATTGCGACTTTATTTCTCATAATTGCGACTTTATATCTCGCAACTGCGACTTTATTTCTCAGAATTGCGACTTTATATCTCGCAATTGGACTTTATTTCCAACAATTCTGACTTCATATCTCGCAATTGTGAGATAAAAAGTCGCAATTATTATTATTATTATTTTTTTATTCAGTGGCGGAAACAAGCTTCCATAGTAATTAAAAACAATTATAATGTAAAAACATGTATGTACACAATAAGTGATTTGTATCAAATGATTAATGTAAATGTTAATTACATTAGTGTATGTACAGTTATATAAAATGGGACTAAGTACTTCACCTCAGTATTTACTGGTAAAGCAAGTACATTTCCAGAATGTATCTATGTCTTGTTATACATCACAGCAATCTTACAGATCTAGTTTCTGCTGATGTCATCATAGATGGTCTAGATGTAATTTTAAGCAAGAAAAATGTCTATGAGCAAATTGACCTTCTGACCTTTTTTGTGTCTTGACAGAAAATGGACAAAAACAGGGATGGAGTGGTCACTATAGATGAATTTATAGACTGCTGTCAAAATGTAAGCCTATTTTTGGTATGAAGGTGATGTTCTGCATTAATGTCTTTCTTGAAAACATTTACAATAGGTTTTTCTTGAGTAAAGAGAAAAGCTCCTTATTCAGTGTCATCCTGAGGACTGTCCATTATTAAAGTGTCCATTTGCTCCCCACAGGATGAGAACATCATGAGATCAATGCAGCTTTTTGAGAACGTCATTTAACGTCTGAATGGACTCTGTTGGCGGGCCAGCTTATATAACCACCTTTATACTCCACAAACTCCGAAGTCCTCGATGAGACACAAGTCTGATTACTAACAGTGATTCACCCATAAACCAAAATTAACAGCATTTTTAATATCAAAGAAAAATTATTTTTTACATTTTTGTCGTATCCTTTTCCTGTAAAAAAAACACAAAAATTATACCTTCATTTAGAGTACAGCAATTTATGAAAAGCCTGTTTCCACCATGGAAAAAAATTTAAAAGGTAATTGTGATTTTTCTTATCTCACAAATCTGACTGTAAATCTGAGGAAAAGAACTACAATCCCATGAAGCATTGCTAACAGCATAATTTAGGTTTATTGCAAAATATGCATATATATAAACAACAATTTATGTATTTTAAGAGGCAGACTCGATTACTCGTGCATCATGGGAGTGGGCGGAGCTAAAGAGCTTTTCTGATTGTTTTGATCTCTGATTAGTGGAATTTTATGTTCAGCTTCATGGATAATGTAGTTTTTCACCACAAATTCTGCTATTAAACACTCTTATTTTAAAAAATAAGTTGAAATAATCCAGGCTGACGCAAATAATATCGATTAACAACCTAGTAGATCACAGTAGGTCTCTTTAAATGTTTATAAGTTATCATTAAATATCTATTTTAATGGACAAAATGAATGAAGTTTTTACCCAGTTGTGAATAATAAAGTCAGAATTGTGAGTATTAAACCTGCAATTGAAAATGTATAAAGTCTGAATTTCGAAAGCACAATTGCTAGAACAAAAGTCGCAATTACCCTTTTTATTTATGATAAAAAATATAATTTTATTTATTTATATATTTATTTATTTATTACGGAAATACTCTTCCATTCAATTCCATAGATACATAAATCAGCTTTTTCTGCAAATTGAAAATGACTAGAAGCCATTTTACATCTAGAGGTACATTTCATACATTTGCAGGAATTTACAAAGAATATTTAACAGACAATTACAATGATTACTTCTTTATTGAACCGCCATTTGGCCCTCATGGTTTAACACTCATTGTCACATCAACTCATTTGTTAAGTTACTAATGTGTCACACATAAACATGGCATAGTATACAAATTCATAACATAACACAGATTCATGGCGTTCTTAAGCACAACAAACAGTAATAATTCATACTTCTTGCCTTCTTTCTTTCCATAAGTACACACATGTGAATCTGCAGCCTTTACATTTCTACAGAATCATTCCAGAATGTTCTTACAACAGTGGGTCCAGCCAAAACAGGTGGAAAGGTTCAAATAAAGATGTATGTTTTCTAAAATATATTTAAAATAGATCTTTACAGTTTTTTTTATTTATTATTATTATTATTCTTTGTTCAGAATCATTTGCCAACTAGAACAAGATGTTAAATTATAGATTTGGAAGCGATTCAAAGCACACGTTGTATTTGTCTTAGGAAACACTGTTACAAAGTAATGCTGCTTATATGTATCTAAAGTCCTTGTGAAAAAAATGTCACATTATGTTTACATGTTTCAACACTGTATAACTGTTCTCAAAGCATCTTGCTGTGTGGGTTTATTTATAAGCGCATCAGGTTGCCTGTAGCCATACAGTAGCCTATGTTTTCACTCAGAGGTTTTTATTCTGTTTGACCATCAGTATTTGTTTCTGCAAAAGAGCTCTGTTAATGTCAAAGAAATGTCTCATGTCTTTCATGCATTTCGGGATGTTAAAACGTATTACCCCCCCACCAAATTTTATAGAATATGATTTAACTGTGGGCAACTGTTATAAATGCAGTCCAACAAGACTATAAAGAGTTATAATGCTCTCCACCGTCGCCACCTAGTGGTAAGTGACTTCAGTTACAGCACAACGTGGCTGACAACATACTTTTGTAGAGAAATATTGGATAATTACACGATAACAAACCGCCAAAATAAATTTAGATTTTCCAATATCGTTCTAATATTATAATGCTGTCTTTAGAAACACATGGGCCCAGTTGCAACAAGCTTCCATTACAATCATAATCGTATACGAATAGGCTGAATCCTTGGATGCAAAAGTTTCCTTCAACGTGCATTTTGGTTAGTCACGGGGAGCAGTTACCTCACAATAATCCTCAAAGTTTGACAAGTGATCACGCAGCTTTAATGGAAGTCTAAAGATAACCTGTATACCAGAGAATGAGAGAGAAAATAAGAAGAGTTGTATAACTTTGTATAAATATAGAGGCCAGTCCAGACATCGGGTTGAAAACTACGGAGCCCCTAAAGGGACATGGTAAAGGAAAAAATATATGAGATGGAGGTGGGAAAAAATGTCGTTCTCCCAAATGTTTTGTCCCTTTAGGGGCTTTATAGAAAATAAATTATTCCACTGATTTGTATTTAAAATGTGTGTAGATATTTCATAAGTTACAAAGTACGGAGCCCCTAAAGTTAGGCTACATGGTGGTGGAAAAAAAAAAGGTTTTGCGTTCCCCCGAGAAACTTTACGTTCGCTCCCAAAACCTTTTGAGCTCTTCGCGCTTTGCAGCGGAACAAACGTTTTTGCGAGGGAAAGCAAAGTTTCTTGGGGGAACGCAAAACATTTGCGAGATCTCATATTTTTTCCCTTCACCATGTCCCTTTAGGGGCTCCGTACAAATGGGCATTTTTGATGCATCTCTTTTTTTTCCCCACATCCTGTATTTTTCTTATTTAATCAGAATATGCAAATAATGTTTATTGTTTGAGGTTCTATATACTGTCTAATAAGAACACTTGATTGTCTGTCAATTTTTAGTTTTGCGATGCCTGCATGCCTGATTGACATCAGCTTTTTCAGGAGAAGAGTGCATGAGCTTTTCCCTATTCTAGAAATCAGTGCCTTTCTTTGTTAATGTTCATCCCAAACTGTATTTTCTGTCTGACTGCATTGTAATTGAGTTACAGCATTGAACATGATCCTTTTAAGTCCTTTTCTGAAAACAATGCTGTCATTGATTGCTGTATTTGAGGTTTCCCATTAACATTCTAATAATGCACAATTTCTTGCAAGCGACATGAACCAGCTGCATGTGTAGAGCGTGAAGAACGCTTTACAGCAGGAGTGGGCAACTCTGGCCATCGAGATCCACTTTCCTGTAGAGTTTAGCTCCAGCCGTGATCAAACTCACCAGTAGCTTTCTAGGGCTGCGTCTGTAAGGCGGCTGACTTGTTGCCTCTCTGCCTTATCACTTAGCGGGCAGCGTTTGCGCACGAAGGTATACCTCACAAAACTGATTTGGCAGCATAAAGGTTTAATGATCTACAACAAAACAGAGAGTTTTGGTGATAACTAAGCAAATATTTACCCAGACAGCAACATAGTGTCGGTCCAGATCCGGGCCACATCTGGTACGCGTGGAATCCACATGTGGCCCGGATCTGGGCCGACACTATGTTACTGTCTGGGTAATTACTGCAATACTAATCTTTAGCTAGAAATGACAGCAGAAGAGGAAAACACTGGTCAGAAACATACATTTAAACATAAACTGGCCAATCACAACTTTCAGATGCCATCTTTATTTTTTAGCTCACCTGTCACAGAATGCAAAGCACTGGATTGTCACAGGATGGAAACTGGATTCCCATGGATTGTGGGATATCAAAGGCAGCGAACGATACATCTATGCTGCCTTCAAAAATCAATCAGAGGAAGGTATCTAAGGAGACAGGGATCTATTGGATTCGGGCATGGCCGTATGCCTTCCTAACTTGGAATGCATCTTGCGAAGGCAGCATTTTAAACTTTCGGACGCAGCCATAAGTAAAAATGTTTTGCCTTTCCCTCTCTAACTTCCCATCTCGTTCACTCTGATGTTTGTCATTGCTTACATTTACATTTATTTATTTCGCAGAAGCTTTTATTCAAAGCGACTTACAAATGAGGAATACAGCAAGCGATCCATCGTGAAGAGGCAAATAAACAGGAAGTGCTCAAAATACAAAGTTTCAGACATTGCTCAGAGAAGCATAAACTAGAATAGGAAGGGATTAAAGGAAAGTGAAAGGATAGAATTTTTTTTTTATGAAGTGCTCACATAAGAGACGGGTTTTCAGCTGTCTTTTGAATATTGTCAGGGATTCTGCATTACGGATGAAGGCGGGGAGCTTGTTTCCCCAGCAAGGAACAGTGAACGAAAATGTGCTGGAGAGTGATTTTGTGACTCTCTGTGATAGTACCACCAGCCGTCGCTCATTTACCAATTGTAGGCTTCTGGTAGGGATGTAGACTCGTAAGAGTGAGTGGAAGTAGGAGGGTGCTGAGCCTGTGGTAAATCTGCAAGCAAGCGTTAACACCTTGAACTTGATGCGAGTGGTAGCCAGTGCAGAGAAATGAAGAGCTGTGTGACGTGGGCCCTTTTGGGTTCATTGAAGACAAGACGTGCTGCAGCGTTCTGAATAATTTGAAGAGGTTTAGTTGCACATGATGGAAGTCCAGCCAGAAGAGCATTGCAGTAATCAAGCCTGGAAATGACCAGGGCCTGGGCAAGAAGTTGTGTTGCATGCTGTTAGGAAAGGCCTTCCTGATCTACCTGATGTTGTGTAGTGCAAACCTGCATGACCGAGAGCGGTCTTTGCAATGTGGTCTTTGAAGGTCAGCTGGTCCACAAAGATTACTCCAAGTTTTCTAGCCGACTTGATGGGGTAATTGATGATGAACCGAGCTGGATGGTGAAATTGTGCTGTAGAGTCGGATTGGCAGGGAAGACAAGAAGCAGTCTTCGTGACGTTCCTTCATCTATGCCGTGATGTCCTTTAGACAGCTTAAGATTCATGCAGCTACTGTGGGATCATCTGGTTGAAATGAAAGGTAGAGCTGTGTGTCATCAGCATAGCAATGGTAGGAGAGATCATGTGCCTGTATGATGGGTCCCAGTGATGTAGTGTATATGGAGAAGAAGAGGGGTCCAAGAACTGAACCCTGAGGAACCCCGGTGATCCGTTGATGTGCTACCCTTTCCAGGCAACCCTGAAATACCTACCTGTGAGATAGGATTCAAACCAGTGAAGTGGAGTTCCTGTGATGCCCAGTAATGAGAGGGTGGACAGAAGGATCTGTTGATTCACAGTGTCAAAGGCAGCAGATAGATCCAGGAGAATGAGAACTGAAGATTTGGAATCAGCTTTCGCCATCCATAGGGCTTCAGTGACCGACAGTAATGCAGTCTCGGTTGAATGGCAGTTCTTGAAGCCAGTTTGGTTGACATCCAGCTGGTTATTCTGTGAGAGGAAAGATTGATTGAAAACACCTCGTTTAAGTGTTTTCGTTATGAATGCTAGGAGAGCGACAGGTCTGTAACTATCCACAAGTGACGTGTTTAATGTGGGTTTTTTAAGCAGTGGGGAAAATGCCAGTACGCAGAGAGATGTGTTGATGTGTGTGAGAGCTGGTAAAAGTGTAGGTGAGATGACTTGTAGAAGGTGTGAGGGGATGGGATCTAGAGGGCAGGTAGTAGGATGACTAGATGAGCTTACGTTGCACAAGTGCCCACTACTTGAGGAATCCTTGCAATGGAACGCCCTAAGCCCTTGATCACTTTTGGGCTACTTCTGAAAACTTAGGCAGCTGACTTGTTGCCTCACTGCCCTACCTCACGAAACTGATTTCGGACAGACTTCTGGAGACAGCATAACGGTTTAATGATCTACAGCAAAAGAGTGAGCCTTGGTGAAAACTAAGCAAATATTTATTTCTCGCAAGAAATGACATCAAAAGTGGAAAATGTTGGTCCAAAATGTACATTCACACACAAACTGACCACCATTAACAACTTTCAGACGCCATCTTTATGTTTTAGCTCAACTGTCACAGAATGCAAAGCACTGGATTGTGGGATATCAAAGGCAGCGAAGGATTCGCATCTACTGTATGATGCCTTCAAAAAACGTTCGGATGAAGGTATCTCAAGAGACAGGGTATGAAGCTAACTTTGGATTCAGACATGCCTTGATGCCTTCCTACCTTGGAATGCATCCTTTAAAGGCAGCATTTTTAAACTTTCGGATGCAGCCTTGGAATCTTCTATACGCTGATTTCACGCAGCCGCCATTTTGAAATAGCTCCGGTGGGAAGAAAACCGGAAGTGTCGCCTTTAATCATAGGAGAGTCGCGAATACGATGGCGTATTGTTGTGTTTAATATAGAAATTAGTTATTCTAAAAATGTACATACATTTCTTTCATACTTTAGACTATTATACAGTGAAATTCATTTATAAATAAAAACAATATTTTTTATATAAATATAGAATTCAGAACGTAAAAAAAGAAGCAGGAACGAACTATAGACATATCCTATATTGGATATTAACATCCAATAGTGTAAATCGCAGCAGCAGCTTCAGGTTGGTAGTCCAAGGCATTGATCTGTACTTCCGGGGTTCTTCCCACCGGAGCCTCGCTTTCGATTTCAAAATGGCGGCTGCGTGAAATCAGCGTATGGAGTGCGTGTTGCTGTTGTGACGTCACAATCATGTTGCATTGTGGTCTATGGATCTGCCTGATGTGTACATATGAGTGGACTCGCTCCCTCAGTCAAAATCGATGGGTCGAGGGTCTGTCCAAATAAACTTCCCTCGCGTTCTTGGCGAAGTAGAAAATGGCGGCAGGAATTCTCCCAAGGGGAAGTTCCCGATATCTAAAAGTGGAGTTAAACGCAGCCTAGTAATCCTGAAGACCTTTATTAGCTTGTTCAGGTGTGTTTGATTAGATTTTTTTTGAGCTAAACTCTGCAGGAAAATGGATCTCGGGGGCCAACGTTGCCTACCCCTGCTTTACGGTGTTAGTGATTGGCCCTTAGTGATGGGTAGAGCTGTCTGGAGCAGATCTAGTGCTCTGTGTGCCTATCCCAAGCTTCTCTGTGGAACTAGATGAGTGCATTTTGTAACATAGTCAATAAACCGCTCAGAATGTACTGCCCTGCTGGTTCATTGTATATGGAATCATTGGTAATCTTGATGCCTACAAAATAACTATGATTAAGCCATTCATTTGAGTTCAGATAAACACAAAACATACACGCTTACAAGGTTAACAGGGACTACACCTTTATTCAAAAACAGCTGTATAAAGGCTTCAAATTGAAATGTACATGACAGGCTGCCTTTGGCTTACAGAACTGAATCTTTTCTGTGTTCGGTACGAAGAAGCACATGTGTGTCCGATCCAAAACATTAATGAGCAGGTACAAAGGCTAAATGCATGTGACCTGAGGTTTAGTTGCTTACAAGTCTTTAAAATCCATCTCAAACTGTAATAAAATGTACAGTATTGGTCCAGAGACGTACCATTAGAAGTCAGAAATTTATTTAGTATAATAATTGCTCACTTTATAAAACATCTCAACTTTGGAAATGTTTCAAAGAGCAAAACTGTATAAATGACAAATAATGACTGACATTAATTACAAAATAAAAGGGACGTTCCACCTTTAATCAACATTCAGTTCTTTTGATTTAAGAAAGTGTTCTGATATGTTTCTTTAAATGTCTAATGGTTAAACAGGAGAGCCCAAGTCTTATGGAAATCATAGGCATGATGTTGAACAGCAGTGTGGCATCCCTTTACACATTTTGAAGTATTGGAAATATACACACAAAATGTAAACGTGTGATGCGCAAAATAACAGCGAGTAAAAAAATTAAGACAAAGATGTTCTTTAAAAAAAATGGTTTTAATTTTTGTACATGACTAGATTTCAGTTATGTGTGATGGTGTCCTCCCTGAAGTCATAAAAAAAATATATTTGCAAGTTTGGTACTGTATAGTTCCAGTCACAAAGATGTCATCTATTAATTTAATAGACACAGCACAGATTTTCCACTCAAATCCACACATTACGAGCCTGCTTTGTTCATTTTGTCTGTGTGTTGACTGTGAGAAATGTTTCCCTTTGGTAAATTAAATCTGGAGGGATGATTTAATAAAGTCATTGAGAGATTCTCAACATAATGGCTTCTCAGAACAGAGAGATGTGGCGCATTTGAAGGTGTTCAATCTAAACACCCACTTACCAGCATCCCTCATGTGAAACAGAAAGGAATAAAGCACAAGGGTCATACTCAACTGCAGAAAAAGATTTTGGTCATATATCATAGGCAGCTGCAGAGGTTATAAGAGAAGATGCCTGTGCGCTATAACACACTTATCTGTGTGTGTGTGAGAGAGAGAGCCTTAAGTAAGCAGCTGCCTGATCTCACGGTGGACATAGCACAGGAAGTCCATATAAGACGCCCCTCCGTGAAGACCCTTATCCTCCACCAGGTGCTGACGGAACAACATCTCTGCTCTGTCCTTCTGCTTCACTATCATCAGCTGCACACAGAGACACATCAATTACACTGCTGATCACAGATCAGGACAGAGAAAGAAAAAAAACTACTATTCAAAAGTTTGGGGTCACAAAGATTTCTATTATGCTTTTGAAAGAAGTCTCTTATGCTCACAAAGGCTGCATTTATTTGATACAGTTACATACAGTTAAAACAGTAATATTGTGGAATACTGTAACTATTTTGATATACTTAAAAAAAATATTCCTGTGATGGTACAGCTGAATTTTCAGCATCATTACTCCAGTCTTCAGTGTCAAATGATCCTCCAGAAATCATTTTAATATGCCATTTTTCTGCTCAATTATTATTCATCCTTATTGGAGATCAATTATTAATGATAAGTCTATTACACATTATTACAAAAGCATTCAGGATTCTTTTGAGGAATAGAAATGTCAAAAGAACAGCATTTATTTGAAATAGAAATCATTTATAAATGTCTTGATTGTCACTTGTGATCAATTTAATGCGTCCTTGCTGACTTACCCCAAACTTTAGAATGGAAGTGTATAATGTAACAAAGATATTAAGCACCAAAAACTGTTCTCAACATTAATATTAAGAAATGTTTCTTGAGCAGCAAGTCAGCATATTATAATGATTTCTGAAGGATCATGTGACACTGAAGACTGGAGTAATGATGATGAAAATACGGTTTTGCATGACAGAAATAAGATATATATATTCAAATAGAAAGCCGATATTTTAAATTGAAATAATATTTCACAATATTACTGTTTTTACTATATTTTTAATCAGCCTTGGTGGGACGTCTTTCAAAAACAAAACAAAATCTCAATTATTCCTAACTTTTGAACGGTGGTATTATATATACGATATATATGAGAAACTACTAGTATAAAGTTTGCAGTAATTAAATGTCTAATTATTATATTAATTTTATATTAATTATATTAATACTGCATCACAATCTTATTATTCACATTACACGCTGAAAATCGCAGTAACACCAAACCTCTTTGTAACAAGAGCGAGACGGATGCATAAACCGCATGCAGGAGAGAGGAGATGGTGAGAGAGAGCTGTACCTTCATGGATGTGGCCCTCTGCTGTGAAATGCTGGAGATGATTGAATGGAGTTTCCTGGAATGAGCATTATCCAGCACAGGTAATGACGTCTGCTGAAAGACAATTATACCTCTACAGTTATCACTGCGGCTCTGACGCTGGTTTCCATAATGAGAAGAACTAAAAGAGCAGTTCCTTGATTAAAGCAACACAAGCAGTGAGATCAAAAGTGCAAAGAGGAATAAGGTTATTAGTTAGATATAATCCAATTCAGCAAAGATAAGCACTGTACAAGCACAAGTTAAATAATAGTTGCCCAAAAGCTTTTTATTTTTTATTCACCTACATATAGTTTCAAACTTCTGTATAGGATAAATTATTACTTTCTTTTTTCTTCTATTTTTTTGTTCAAATTGTTATATATCAAGTCAAGTTTATTTGTAAAGTGCTTTTCACAATATGCATCGGTTCAAAGCAGTTTTACAGAAAGTCATACTGTTATTTCAATAATGGCTCAGTGCTTTACTACAGAGCAAACTTTTTGGTGCTGGGCGATATGACGATATATAATAGGGCTGGGTATTGACACAAATTTCACAATTCGATTCGATTTCGATTCGATTCAATATTGATTATTTTGGATATCAGGTACAATACATGGCACATTTTCTCAAGGAAAACAAATCTCTTAACTAATGCTGTAAACTATGGGAGTCAGTTGTAGCCTTCTAGGCTTCATTAGCCTACTACAATATTGAAGGTAAAAATTAACTGATTTGTAGCTATACAAACACTTAAATTACACTTTTATTTATTTTTAGAATAATAAAGTTATATGAAATATAAACATTTAAATGGTGGCTGTCATAAAAACTTGCCAGATTTATTCAAACATGCATTAAATATCGAAGAACATTAAAAATTATAATGAATATGTAATGCAAAATGCTCCTCTTTAGAGTTAATTTTTCTAGCTGACTAACGAGTTTATGATCACATATGGTTTTTCTGAGGTAGGCCTAAATGTGACGTTACATGACATTGTTTACAAGTTGTTTTACTGACGTCTTTCCACGGTTGAAACACTGATTGAGCGATTCCATGTGACATGATACGGATTTCGATAAGTTGTACTCTATCTTTTAACACACTTTCAGATGCTCGTTCATGTTTATTTCGCGCTGTAACTGGTATTATTAAGGCAGAAGAGGAGATCATGTGCGCTCCGCGCTGCTGCTTCTCTTGAGCTGAGCTGAGCCAGAGCGATCTCACGCCACAGCGCCAAAACGGTATTTATGTTTTTGAATTTCATAAGAAAATGGACGTAATTTGAAATTTGAGACTTTATTTAGTATCAATAGTAACAAAGCACAAAGATTATTGCGATTTATTGGATGGGATGCGCGCTACAATGTTCCATTCATTCATCAAATGAAAACAGGATGACTAATCGATTTAAGAATCGATATCGGTTCGTAAAAATGAGAATCGATTAATATCGAGAAATCGATATTTTTTTACCCAGCCCTAATATATAACATTGATTCAAGTGATTCTCCAGATTTTGATCTAGCTATATTGTATTTATAGTGTTGTCTAACACATATATCAGTGCAGCAGTGACTCTCGCACACATCTGAGCACTCAAGGCAATTCGAGATTTAAATATGGGTCAGTATTGTTGAAATAAGAGATTAAAATATTGGTTGGTTTTGTTCTATTAAGTGATCTAAACATCGGTTGGTTTCGTTCTATTAAGAGATTTAAGTATCGGTCAGTATTGCTCTATTAAGAGATTAAATATTGATAGGTTTTATTCTATTAAGAATAATGTCATACCCCTTCTGAGTTCAGGTGGGCGAGAGAGGGCACATTGAAGAGGTTCTGGATGAGGTCAGGTGAGCAGGCCTGTCCCAGCCAGAGGAACATAGAGAGCCCGTTTTCCAACAGGAAAATCCCTGACTCGCTGAGCCGCTCCTCAGAACAGCGCACTGGAGCTGGGATTGACTCACTGGACACATCCATAGTGTGCTGAGAGAGAGAGAGAGAGCAAATGCTTAAACTGTAATGCACAGTGTTTGAAATGAATGATAGAAACGATATACATGTTATGTGTGTAACTCACCAGCGGGATGAGCCGAGGGTAGAGTAGGACCTGGGTTTCCTCCACTCCCATCGCCATAACCATGAATCTGTAGAAGGCTCTGTCATCTGTGGAGAGCTCAGTACTGCCCACAAGAGATGGAGTCTTCAACAGACTGTTCATGTAGACGGGAAACACCTTCATCGCATCAGGCAGGATTAGCTGTAGGGTACAATGTTCAAGAGGAGCAGTCAGTTTACATGTCAAATCAGAGATACACACTCAACAAAGTCTGATGTGAGAAGGATGAGAATGAGAAGGAATTTTCTGTGTTGAATTTTTTAACAGGTGTTCTACCCTTATTTTGAATTATGCATTGCATTGTGTTTTATGGTTGACGGAAATAGCTGTAAATTTAACTGAAAAAGGTACTGATCATTTTCTGCTAGGATCTGCTAGGATGCTGTCTTTCTAGTGTTTTTTTTCTTACAGTGCAGTGCAAAGATGATGATATGAATCTATTAAATATAATTAAAATATGAACGAGACATGGTGCTGAAGAAGAAAAAAGATCTAAAAAATAAAGTTAATAAAGATATAAAAATGTCAACAAAATGGTTTCTGAATTTCAGCGTGAGCTAAAACTAAACCTTTGATTTAAATAAAGTATAAAATAAATATTGAAAAACTTCAACTTCCTAAACTAAGTTTAAACTAACTAACTAACTAACTAACTAACTAACTAACTAACCTAAAATTTGAAATATTGCCTAAAATTAGTTGAAAAATAAAATAACAAAGTGAAATAATAATAAATCAAAGTTAAATAGAAATATTAAAATGAAAACTAATAACAATGACAAAAGCACATAACAAAATGGCTAAAACTTAAACTAAATTAGATCACACTTTATTTTAAGCTGTCCTTGTTACAGTGTAATTATACATTTAAGTACTGAGTAATATTAATCAACTGTTTACTTACTATTAATTAGGGTTAGATAAGGGTTTGGTTTAGGGTTAGTTGCTTGTAATTGTGCATAATCTTCTGTTTTTATACTAAAATTGCACTGCTGCATTATAACTTAGTTTAAATAAGTTCACACATGATATGTGTGTGAAGCATTAATGAGGGGAGAAGATGTTTTTATAAGGGTGTATATTTCATATGAACATGGACGGGCATGAATGTGAAGTGTGACACTGACCTGGCTGGCTGCTGAAGGAGTGGCGCAGTTCTTCCTGTAGCAGGCCAGCATGTGAGCCGTCTGGTTTACCAGGATTTCCCTCACCGTCTTCAGTGGCTGGTTGAGCATGGCCCGATACGCTGAAGGATAAAAGCATCCACCACAATCACTGACTGAATAACTCACTGAAATAAAATAAGTGCTATAATAAAAAATAAAGCAAAAAATAAATATATATACCGGTATATAAAAGACAAAAAGCACAACTGGAAAAGACTCGAAACTCCTGAATTATGCTTTATTCCACTATAAAGCCATTAAAAAAAATGATCTGATAGCATCAGAAAGCAAGGTTTTTATAGATTGATTTAAAATTCTCATTATTGTGCATTTTTGATTTTTAAAAATGAGCATTGTCACATGTTATGTTCAAATCTGAGACAATAGCATGAAGTTTTTATTTACGTTCTTGTACGAGTTAGAAAGCTGGTCACCTGACTTGGCGAAGAAGTTGATGAGGGCATCTGTCTCACAGCTTTTGAAGAGCTCAGAGAGCTGTGCGCTGCAGTTCAGACTGAGGTTGTGAATTCGCAGCCTCCTCTGTCCACCGATGGTGGTGTAGAGCAAAGCACACTGGGAAACCACAGGAAACAAACTTATTTGTGTTGCTCTCACCAGCAAGTGAATTCCAAGAGCATCCCAACAAACCAGTTCAATGAGGACTCAAATGCACTCGAGTTACCAAGAAAAAAATATTATGCATCAAACAATTGTATTACAGATTGTGTCAAACAGTGAGAGACTTAACATGTGAGCAGTTTTGATGCAGTAAGTATTCCCAAATGTCTTTTTTGTATTCTTTAATAGTCTTGTCTTTGTCATTGTCTCAAAGCTCAGTGTTGTACTTGAAGACTGACCTGCATCACAGCTCCAGACTCCTCGCTGAGTGTGTCGTCATGTTTAAACTCCACCGTCAAGGCCTTGTCACAGTCCACTGCTGCCATCTCCACATCTGTAGTGTTGCTCATGTGTACGGCACCAAAGAAATCTGTGGCCCTGAAGCCTTGAGAATCATGCAGATATTAAGATATGCCATACATTCACTCACTACCGCTCAAAAGTTTGGGTTTCGGTAAGATTTCTTAATGTTTTAGAAATAGGTCTCTTAAGCTCACCAAGGCTGCACTTGTATGATCAAAAGTACAGTAAAATCAGTAATATTTTGAAATATTATTACCATTTAAAATAATTGTTTTCTATTTGAATACATTTTAAAATATAATTTATTCCTTTGAGGCAAAGCTGAATTTTCAGCATCATTACTCCAGTCTTCAATGTCAACATAGTCCTTCAGAAATCATTCTAATATGCTGATTTGCTGATCAAGAAACATTTCTTAATATGATCAATGGTGAAAACAGCTTAATATTTTTGTGGAAACCTTTTTTTCAGGATTCTTTGATGAATACAAAGTTCAAATGAACAGTATTTGTTTCAAATATAAATTAATTGTAATATTATAAATGTCTTTACTGTCACTTTTGATCAATTTAATGCATCCTTGCCAAATTACAGAATTCCTTTATTTTGAAAAAATCAAATCAAATCCTACTCAACTTTTAAACGGTAGTGTGCATAGTGTGTTTAACCTTACATAGTGTTCAAGTACTTTTCTCTAGAATGTTATTACCTGTGCCAGTACGGACACGCATGATGGCATCGAATCCGATGGACTTCTCCACATCTCTCTTGAGGTCATTGAGAAAATGCTGACCATTAACCTCCACCTGAAAAGATATAAAGGTATAAAGGTTTGAGGTTTGACCACAAGAGGGCAGCAATATAAACCCAGAGTTCAGCTCATATTTGATACCATATTCAAGGTGTCTGTGCTTCAGTATGTCTGTGCACGTGTGTACCTGGAAGTTGCTGTACTTGTAGATTGAGCCTCCAGTATGTGAGGGCACGTCGCCCATGGTGGCCATATCCACATACTGATTGGGAAACAGGAAGAGGTCGACACAACAGCCCTGAGCCACACAATCTTTAGTCAGCTGCTCATACACACCCCGCTGAGGCTGGAACAGAGTCTGACAACACAGACAAACAAATCATTCATTTTAAGATTTTGATGTTTAATACTATTTTATGCAGATGCAAGTATGTAGCTGAGATTTTTGAATGGAGAAATTTCATTCAATTTCATATTCAATAAATAGTCACCTTCTCCTTTTCTGTACCGACTAGTTTTTTGTCATCTCTGTTTTTCAGTTTTCCTGGAGCCTCTGCTGTTGGGATGGAGGAGTGGAAGATGAAGAGTTTGCCACTGCATTCAGCTGCCTGAGGAGAGAGGGGAAAAAAATCAGAAAATATAAAATCTAGGGCTGTCAAAATGATTACTTGTGATTAATTGCATCTAACAGTAAAATTTGTTTTTTACATAATATATGTGTGTGTGTGTATATATATACTATTATATTTCTATAAAAAAACTTTTATCGATTTATCGATTTGACAGCACTATTCATGTTCATATTAATTGTAATCAGTATATGCGAAGGATGTGTATACTGTATATATATATATATATATATATATATATATACATTAATCTGGATGCGTTAAGAGTACTTGATTAAAAATATTTGCCCAAAAAACAACTTAAGTCACAGACTGAACATGTCATTGAGATTATGAAACAACCAGTGCTGTCGCCAGTGACGACAAGTGGAAACATTGTCTCGGGCCTGTGAATTTAAATGACGACCCTAGAAACAACTGTGTTTATCAAATAAAGATTGTGTGCAGTATTAAAGTGCACTTTAGTTAAACAATGTAGAAATAAAAACTAAGTATGCAAGTACGTTTAGAAAGGGAGTAAATCGTTTTGGTAAATAGTTCAGCCTATTAGATTTGTTTGTACCTTTAGGGCCTCCACACCAGCTTGCACGACTGGTGCAAAAACAGTCTCACTCTCGTTGGTGTCAGCAAACATGTCAGGGATCTGATCTAAAAGGCTTAAGAAAATATTACACAAAATTACATTAACAGCAGAAATAGGCAACGTGTGTCTCAAAGTCAAGCCATTCTTAAATATAACGAGCAATGTTGTGATAGGCAGGAAAAGCATGCTTGAACTGAAGTGTATATACTGTATACTATTATGTTTCTATATATATATATTATACATATATATACACTGTGTGTGTGTGTGTGTGTGTAACACTAGTCTGTAGTTCTAGTCTGAGCTGTTGACATTCTCTGAGAAATTATTCATATTTCTATGGCAACACTCATACCTGTAACACCAAAATGGTTCCATGTGTGGCTTTGTTAGTGATGTATGCAAAATTCTTCATCACTAATTAATTCTTTTGCAACAAAATTACGAGAAATGAAAAATATGTTTGTATACATACATATATATATACCTTAAATGCAGTGTCACTTTGGATAAAAACATCTGCCAAATGCATGAATGTAATGTTTAAGTATCGAATAACCAATATGCATATATATACAACAAAATATCTGCATTATGAATATTGCTGTAGTAAGAAAAATTATTAACAAATACAGTTATGAAAAAGTGGAATGTTTCCAATAGAGATTTCAATACAGAAACTCTTTTATTTCTTATTATGATTTATTATATCTAAGTTTTTCGAATGGAAAAAAAAAAATTGTAGGGAGGGACTAGATTTTGACCATGGGTTTAGTATTGGTCAATCTCATGTGAGTGACAGGTTGCCCCGCCCTCGAGCCAGGAAACACATCATCAGAGAAGAGGGGGAGGAGAAACTATTGGGGGTTTATTATTAAAGATTAGTATTTTTTATTTATTTTTATAAAAATACTGGTGTGGACCAAAATGATTTATAATAAACACTGCAATATTCCATAAAAGAATTGTCATGGTGACTTTAATTCTAAAACTGAATACTGTATATGACTCGATGTAAGAAGCCTAGAAGTGTCTTCAGATAGAAATGAGCATACTTGTTGATGACAGGCCGAGACTCCTGGAAGTTGACGAGGAATCCATCGAGAAGAGGTACAAACATCTCAGCCACATCAGAGACCACCATCATCTGTGGCTGGGCCAGAGCACTCTTCACATTATAGAAGTGCAGGATCTTGTTGTAAGTGACAAAGCCCACTTTGATGGCTGAACTTTCGGCTCCCTCCTCTCTTTAAAACACAAAGAACATAAGAAAAATCAATCAATAACTGCAGTATCACCAAAATCAAGCGATCAGTAAAACCAAAAAGATAAATTAATAATAATAATAATAATAATAAAAAGCTAAAAAAAATTAGGACACTGAAGTCGCACTCAAAACAAAAAGAAAAACTATATCTTAGCATTTAGCTTATGCTAACAAATTTCCCAAAACGTCACTTTTCTAAGCCTTTTTTGCCATTACTTTTAAATGGATAGTTCTGCCAAAATTGGAAATTCTGTCATCATTTACTAACCCTCGTGTTGTTTTAAACCTGTATGGGTTTCTTTCTTCTGTTGAACGCAAAGGAAGATGTTTTGAGGAATGTTTCAATTGTGGGGCACCATTGACTTCAATAGTAAGTGGAAAAAAACACTATGGAAGTCAATGATGACCCACAACTCTTTGTTTATCAACATTCCTCAAAATATCTTCTTTCGTGTTCAGCAGAAGAAAGAAACTAAAAATAAAGAAATATGCACATTTCACCAACTAACATATACCAGAGCACTGTGTAATAGCTGATAGTGGAGAGCTGCATCTAAGCTGTGCTGGCCAGTAAATTACAAGCATCCCACATTGACATCTGCATCTGGGGTTTGTAGCTCTCTATGGCTACATTTACAAGACTGTAAAACATGGCGATGGTTTGAATCACTCAGTCCATACATGCCAAGTCTGTCATTAAACTAGAGACAAACTCTCCAATACAAACCCTATCAGGCATCTTAACAGACCCCATCAGCTCTGGGTGTCCAATGTGGTTTTCATTAACGAAGTAATTTAGCAAGCAAAGCCAGGAACAGAGGAGAGAAATCAGATATAATACCACAGGCTTATTTGGAGTGCACTACCGGACTGCTTTCAGAGTGAGGTCAGCTCCCAAACAAATAAGGACGTACCCTTAGGAACCAGCAGATGAGAGGTAAGGACTGGGAGTTTGAAAAAAGTCTGAAATATGCAAGTTCCTCAGCGGCGAATCAAAGCTCACCTTTCAGCTGGCCGTCACCCAAATAAACGGTATAATTGGAGCCATGTGTCCCACGAAACTTTTAAATACTTGGAAATGTTGCAGTACTAAAGTCGTTCAACCTCCTGACTTCCTTCAGGCAGACATTTTCAAAAGATGAGATATTGGAATTGTTTCTTTCCCTATTTTTTTTCTTGCTTGTTCTCCAGTTACCATATTTGGCAGTGGAGCGTGGCTCTTTTTCAGCTGGATTCGTTCACATTGCAGGCTGCAGTAGCTGAGATGAACATGTGTTCCACCTAAGAGGTGCCGAAAGAATACGGAGGGGTGGCTTCTGCTCAAGGGTTCCACTGTACTCCACAGATCCTCCAAGCCAAACAACTGGAGCTGGGCGTCAGTGTGTGGGATGAGGGATGAAAGCAATCCTATATCTTCATTCAAACCTGGATCTTTACAGTATAAACTGTCCAAACAATAAAATACTATTATAATGATCTATTCGCACTGACAATTGTAAGCCTGTTGGCCAGTACAGAGTCGACAGAAGCACATGGGAAGCTAACATGACATGTCAAGCAGTGTGACACATGTAAGGGCCTATGAAATCTGCTTTATTTTTTCACAATTCCACAAAAAATTAATTGTTTTTATTTTTCTGGATTCTATGATCCATGATTTTAATAATCAAAATGATGTCTAATCAATTCAATTTATAAAACTAATAACTTTTTAACATTAAAAAAAAAACAATAGTGCCCTAAGAATTTGTTTTATTTTTTTCAGATATTGTGTGTTGTCTGTTTTAATTTTTCTGGATTCTGTTTTATAATTTAACACAAATTTACTATCAATAATTAATAAATGCATAAAACAAACATTTAACCTTTCCATGGTGGTCAAAAAGTACAAATTCTTTTTTTTTTTCAATGAAATGAATGTACTATATTTTAGTTTGATAACATTTTTTATTAAAGGGGATTTTATGATACTATAATTATATTTATATAATCCATTTATTACCTGTTAACCACTTTTTGAGCATGGACCTGAAAATTTAATTTCCAACTTAAACTGTCATAAATCTTAAATGATTTGGTCACTTTTTAAAGAAGACACTTGGCAGATTAATGCGAAGTGAAAACAGTTTAAAAAAGGGGAAAAAATAAAAAGAAGGTTATAGATTTTAAGATATGTTAGTGCAAGTTGCTTTCAGTTAAAACGGCTCAAACATGCATTTTAAATATAGACAGCAAACATTATCTCTCAACTTACTTTGGAAGTCGGTCAAGCAATGTCTTCAGTTCCTCGCATATTAGTTTGACAAGTCCACTTTTTATGTTGTTGTAAGAGACATCGATCATGAAGATGTAGGCAGGAGGATTGGGAGGCTTATTATTCTTAAAGACAGAAAAGAACATCAGAATGAATTGTTAGTTCATGAACTTCAAAGTGGCTATTTTTGCTTGTTTTTTACAGACTTGGTACATATTTAAGCCATATCATATGGCAGAGAATATATATAAAGTTTGCAATCAATTATGTAAAAGCACATCAATTGCATGAGAAAGCTTTTTATCTTTTTATATAAAGAAATGGCAAGCTGAATGCATTGGCTGTAATGATTGTATTAAACACTGCAGGAGCTGATCCTCAAGTATTAATAAACATCTGAGAGAAATAGGAGCCCAGACAGCAGATTATAGTGTCAGGCTGAGATGAGGAACCCAGGCACGGACTGGGGCCAAAAATGTGTCATGGATCTCTTTAGTCCGATAACTGAATTGAAATCAAGTTCATTTGAGATTACAAGCTACTTTTCACCCTGAACCGTCAGAATGTAATGCACAATGCATCAAATGTTTCAAAAGTTTACACTCCCTGACTCTTTAGCATCAGTGCATGTTTGCAGCTTTTGTAATAGCCATGTCCTTAAATTGTCCTCAGTGTGAAAAGATGGATCTCAAAATCATACAGTCACTGTTGGAAAGGATTCAAATGTCCTGTGCTCAGGACAAACAAAGAACATCCAGGTCGTGCATCATCCAGGTAATGACACAGTAATAAAAATTAAGCGTAAACTCAAGGTAATATTTTTTTATTCACTTTTTATTTTGTCTTGTGGACTATATGTAAACATCTGTAATGTGAAATAGCTTACTGTAATTATATAGGGCAGTACTACAATTTTAACATTCACAAAACAAGTTGAATTTAATATTTTGACTTTGTATTGAATTTTCATTAATATTGTGTATTTGCACATACTATGCATTTCCAAAAAAGCAAGTTAAGTTTCAGCTGACAGAGCAGCTTAAAAACAAAAAGCAAGTTCTCATTGTTTAAACCTGAATGTTATGAATATTGATACCTTGCAGTAATCCAACGTGGCAATGAACTCATATGAGCCCAAAGACAATTCTGGTCTCTCATACATATCCATTCTTCTCCCCATATGGTCCAGATGCTGGAAATACTGCACTGGAACTAAGGTAGTGGAAACACATTTTTAGAAACACTTTTTTTTTTTTTTTGCTATGATAGCACAGACAAATAATCCCTACCATATGCTGACAGGAAACACAGCGTACACATGCTGTGTGTAAAAAAAGATTTCAGCAGTCTCCAATGGTACAGTACCAACCTTCATTAACACAGCTGCAGAAACCACACTGGTAGCGTCGTCCTCCATCGATAAACTGCATGTAAGGACACATGTAGGCCTTACAGCGGTTGCAGCGGATTGGTCCAGTCTCACCGTGATTTACAATGTACAGAGGAGTCTATAGAGCACAAGCAGATCACAGTGAGAATAACAAATAAGACCTACTGTAACATTTGCCGTACCATTTTATACAGAATGCTAATCTATGTAGTTACACAAACACTACGGTTCAAAAGTTTAAGGTCAGCATTTTTTTTTTTTTTAATACTGTTATTCAGCAAGGATGCATTAAATTAATCAAAAGTGACAGTAAAAACATGTATTTTGTTACAAAAGACTTCTATTTAAAAGTCTTTTCAACTTTCTATTCATCAAAGAATCAGCAGTTTTCAACATTGATATAAATGAGAAATATTTCTTGAGCAGCAAATCAGGATATGTGATTGGTTTCTAAAGGATCATGTGACACTGAAGACTCGAGCAATGATGTTGTAAATTCACCTTTGCCATAACAGGGATACCTTTAAATATTATATATATATATATATATATATATATATATATATATATATATATATATATATATATATATATATATATATATATATATATATATTCTCTTTTTTTTTACTTTTAAAATTTTAATAATATTTCACAATATTACGTTTACTGTATTTTAATAAAAAAAGTAGTGTTTACAACTGTTTGTTTTTTTAAAAATCACTTAATTTTAGATGGAAAACTTTAATTGTTACCTTCATTAACTGACTTCACTAACTCTTAAAATGAAAAAAAAAAGGTTAAGCTAATATAATTTAGAATTTCAATTTCTTTTTTCAGTCATTATGGAGTCATCTAGATCAAAATGTGGAGTGATTTCCTCCTTAATTTGACAGTACAATAATATATTTATCTGACATGTTCCTTGGAAACTGCACTTAAACCCATTAGCCTCTCATGAGAATACTAACACTTCCTAAAAAGGCTCTGAAGTATAATGATGAAGTGTAAAGCAATGAAAGATTCCAGAGTTAAACAAGTCTTGAAGGTATCAAAACCACTATTAAACCACTGTCAAAATAAACTGAGGGGACAGCCATGAATTAGGGTTTGAACATATTCCAAAGGCAGTATTTTCCAAAGACAACACCATCGACAACAGTGTTGATTCTTAAAACAAAGGATCATTTACTTCCTTGTGTTGTTCCAAACCTGTATGATTTTCTTTTTTCCATGTAACACAAAAGAAGACGTTTAGCAGAATATTATTCACACAGCTCTTTTCCGTACAATGAAAGTGAATGATGTACAAACGGGACAAAAAAAACCCCCTCTCAAATCACATTAAATCGAAGATAATGCTGAATTAATATGTGCATATTCAAAACACACAAAAGATATTAGAGACCTTCGGTGGGGATAAATAAGTTATAAGTTAATAACTTAATTTTGGATCTGTTCATTACACAAAAATATGGTATGACTTCAGAAGATTGGAAATACAGCACAAATCATATAAAATACTGTTATGATACTTTTACTGTGCTCTTTCTGTCATTTTTGGATCATTCACTTGTTAGGATGGAAAATAGTATAAAAAAATCATCATCATCTCCTTTTGCGTATCACAGAAGGAAAGTCACATGGTGTGAAGCAAATTTTCATTTAGGCAAACCCCTAGTATCATTTTAAGACTAGAACAATCCTTGGGAAAAAGAAGTGTGCTTAATTGTATTGAATGTGCTCTTTTACTGTATTTAAAATCTTAAAAGTATATTTTTTTTACTGTACTTGAAGATGATATAGTATTTATGAAATAAAATGCCACTTAAGTATATTTGATGCGAGTACACTTTTTAAAGAAATGCACTTTGTACTAGTCATATTAAAAGTTTTACTTTAAAGAGCATTTTAAATAATTATGTTTTAATAATCTTTTGAGAGGGCTTAATAATTTAACTGTAGTTTTACTGAATATTACATTTAAAGTGGATATATTTTGAATGTACTAAATTGCAACTTCATTACAAATGTGTAACAAATAGGCCTATATTTGAATAAATGACATACAAGTTTCAATAGAAATTACATTATTGAATATTTTAGTTTACCATAAATGCTTCTCAGTGCATTCAGCAGTACACTTTAACCATATTTCAAAGACCATAGAAGCAATTATGAAATTTCCTATAAAGATGTACTTGTCAAAAAAGCCCTCAACTAAATGCATTTAATATAAATTGTATCATATTTCATTTAATTGCAATTCATCTGCAATTAAGTGTCCGAAAACATCCATCACATTCAGTTTGCATTTAAATATGTAAATATATATGTGTCAAGTACACTTTCACAAGTATGCAAAAGAGTAATCTTTTCACATGGGAAGATATAGTTTTACAGCACTAAAAATGAGGTGCTTTCCTCGTGGTTTTTTATATTTTAAAACTAAAAATTCCTTAGAAATGGTCACTTATGTGGTAGCATTCCTCACTTATAAATCATGTCTGCTAAATGAATAAATGTAAAAAATAAAAATAAAATAGAAATCTAGTACATAATCCCAAAACTGAAGAACTGCAAAAAAATCTGAGTGCTGATAATATGCTGCATACCTCATTTTTGGGCACGGTAGCGAAGGGTTTGATAATGGCTGCCAGAGGCACTTTGCACTGCTTTGCAAGGTCAGCAGTGCAAGGGAAGGAATATGTTGTGCACCGCATGAATCTTGGGCTAGCATTCCCTTAAAATAGAACAAAAAATGAATATATTAAACAAAAGTACTTTTATGCTAATATTTAGAGTGAAGTGAAAAGATGCTTACCTTGATCCTGTACTGTGAAATCTGTGGTGACCAGTGGAGGCACCTGGCCCCTAACGTTTGTGACATACACCTGGCCCCCTCTCTTAACCTGGTCATCTTCAATCACTTGCGTCTGGAGGAGACAAGTCAGTGTACCTTGAAATGTGCACAGATAAAAATACTTTTACACTGTAATGTAGCATTTTGTTCTCTTTTTTTTATTACCGGACTTGGAATAGAGTCTGGGTCCAGCTTCTTCTGAGGAGGGCCTGCCATTTGGGATGGAGCTCCAGGGAAGCCTCCTGGGAAAGCACCTGTTTGTGGCCCTGCCATCTGTGGTCCTGCCATTTGTGCACCATAAGGTCCTGCAATTGGGCTCCCTTTAGACCAGAAGCAAAAACAATGGTTATTTAGGCTCGTCAACATTTTCCCCTAAAAATAGTGTAGAAGTGAAGTGTATAGTTTCTACATCAACAAACAGAAGTGAAAAATTAAGATAGTTTTCAAACAGGTATTGCAAACACAACACACCATCCTTCTACATTTGGTTAGACAGATAGTCCCGTCCCAAACTCACACCATTGCTTAAGTAAATGTTGCTGAGTTGGGTTGAGGCCCGTCTCATGAGGCAGGATTAAGTGGCTAACCAGTAAAGATTGAGCAAACTCTGTGAAGGTGGATTGGTAATTACAAGGATTAATACGTATACTACCAGTCAGAAGTTTGAAATAATTACAGTTTTGTAATAAATTGATTACTATTTTGGCGGCTTAGTGTGTGGATGTTTCTGTGTGTGTGTGTGTCTGTGTCTGTGTCTGTGTGTGTGTGTGTGTGTGTGTGTCCCAAGCTATGGAATTATGGTTGGGGAAAGACCTGCCAAGAAAATTCATGGACAGTCTCTCGCGTATGGCAAGAGATGGCCATAGACTCACCAAGACTCGGATACGACTGAAATGGTAATACAATAGAATAATTTTTAATACAATTAAAATTGTAATTTATTCCTGTGATGCAAAGCTGTATTTACAGCATCAATACTCCAGTCTTCAGTGTCACATGATCCTTCAGAAATCATTCTAATATGCTGATTTGCTGTTCAAGAAACATTTTTTATTATTATTAACGTTGAAAACGGTTTTAAAAAATATTATTTCGTGGAAATCATGATGCACTACCATTTAAAAGTTTGGGGTGAATAAGATTCATCAAAGACGACACATTCAATTTATCAAATTCATATATAATTTTACAAAAGAAATCCCCTTTTGATGAACTTTCTATTCATCAAAAAAATTCTGAAAAAATGGATCACATTTTCCACAAAAATATTAAGCAGCAAAAACGGTTTTGAACATTGATAAATAAAAACCATTATGAATAACTGAGTACCAATAATAACTGAGCATAACTGACCATGTGACACTGAAGACTGGAGTAATGATGCTGAAAATTAAGCTTTGCATCACAGGAATTAATTACATTTTTAAATAGTTATTTTAAATAGTAATAATTTTCGATCATATTCATTTTCGATCATATAAATATGGAGCCTTGGTGAGCATGAGAGACTTTTTACATTTTTGACCGGTAGTGTAAAAGATTAAAAGCGTTTTAAAAATCGAAACAGTATTTTAACACTAACAAACTACACACTTCATCTTTAAATATACGTTTTTGAACTCTTTCTTTGTCATTGTTGCAAAATGTCCTAGTTTTAACCTGGTTGCTGTTGATAGCCTTGGGGTCCAAGTGGTGGCTGGTGGACACCTGGTCCAGGAGGGCCAGACATTCCCATAGGTGGAGCTGACATAGAACCCATAGTGGCCATTGGTGGAGGAGACCCTAATGAAGGCGGCTGCTGTCCAGGTGGAGAAAGAGGAGGATGTCCCATTGCAGATGGTGATGTTTGGAATTGTTGTGGTGGTGATGTTTGAAATTGTTGTGGTGCTGCTGAGATTGAAGGAGACTGCATGGGCCTTTGACCTAAAGATCATAGTACATGGGTATGAAATGGGCCAGTTAAACATCCACTATCTGAACTTCAAATTAATCTAAAATGGCATCTAACTTACCATATCCTGCAATGTTCATGGAACTCATTTGATTAGTCAGCTGTTGAGTTGGAGGTGGGGATTGTGCCATACTATAGAAAGCACTTTGAGGAGGCTGCCCATAAGAAGACATGGATGGAGCTGAAGCAGCAGGAGGAGCGAAACTGATGGGAGTAAAAAAATATATTAGGAGCTATATGTTATTATGTAATTCACTTTCAACAACAGTGAAGTAGTGTTTACCTGTGGGGATGGGCCCCGTTCTGCTGAATGTTAGCACCATACTGGCTGGATACTGGTATTGGAGGCATCCCAGAAGGAGAGGAGGCAGGTGGCTTGAGCACACCTAGACAAAAAAACATTCATTTTAATGCAAGCACATAATACTGTGAAGAATAAAAAGAGCCAGTATTAGAACGTAGGGCTGTGCGATTAATCACATTTTAGATTCAATTTCGATATTGGCTTCCGACAATTATGAAAACACGATAATCGAGATAAAACAATTATTATGCTGGATTCTGCTGTTTTTCTTTAAAGAGATACACTTCCGCCCCCTCCTTAAAAGCCCGAAGATTCAAATCAGTCAAATCATGCAATGTGACCGTGGTAAAATGGTGAGTATTCACATAAACAATGTAGGTTATGTCTTGAGCGATCCTATACATTTGGAAAATACATTGGATGCATGAAAAAAATTACTTGTATACCATTTTGGTTATATCACCCACTCCTAATAGTGTTAAATAATCGTGATTATGAACTTTTGGTATAATCAAGCCGCCTTATGAGAACATAAGGGATGATATATCAGATGAAACTAGTGAAGAACAGTTTCCTAATGGTTTGACTCTGTTCATTTAGGCTGAGGCTTTGCTGAGACTCTTATATTAAGGACAAGATGAAATTTGCCAGTACTAAAACAACAAAACTGAAGAGTTAAAAAAATATCAACATTTTTCAGCATCATTTTACCTGTCGGTGGGGCAGAATAACCCTGTGGTGGGGATCCATAGGCCCCATAATGCGATTGAGGTGGGGGGTTCCCAAATCCAGTAGAGTATCCCCCCATTCCAGCCTGGGCTTGGGAATATGGAGGGGTGGCAACATAACCTTGCTGACTCATCCTATTGTTATACCTCTGTCATTCCAGTCTGGGACAAAAAAAAAGGTGACCTGGAGAAGAAGAAAAAAAACAGGCTGAATTACAATCGACTTTATATGTTGTCAATGTCACGTCCCACATGTTTCCAACAAACGTTATTCATTTTGCAGGTTTAAAATAGCCTAGACATTAACAGAAAATGCAGAAATAGACATAAACGTTTAGTTTTGAAACATCACCTTTACACAGTTATTTCAAATTGGGTGCATTCAGCATAATAATAACAAAAGATTCAAACTTTACACCTACTATAATTTAATGGCAGTTATTTTTACCTTAAACTTTGTTAACAGCTGTTCTGGGTTCTCCAGATGCCCCAAACAGTGATTTTCTAACAATCATGTCAGTTTTTAGACACATGTACTATCACTTTTGTTATTAATGTTTATGTTATGCAGTTTTGGGGGGATATATGGCATTTTTTTAATTTATTTGCCAAAATTAGTAATTATATAACAGGTTTATTTAAACTAGCAACATTTTATGTAAAATTCACATTAAAGAAAATCAACATGTCTGGTGAAAACATGAAACGTGCCATAGTTTAGTGGAAGATTACTGCCATCAACTGGAAAACAAACACTTTTGCTAGTGCTTAATGAATAGTTTGTGCATGAATGATATCTGGACGATGACATCAATGTTTTCTCCAGAGCGGCTATATATACAGTATAAATAAATGAACTAAATTAATAACTTTTTTTACAACAAAAATGAACCATCACTGAACTTATTTAAACTGGACTATGACACTATTTTCTTCTAGATCTGCAGTACAACCGAAACAAACTTTGTTGCATTATTTTCCTATTATCACTATAAAGCTTCTTTGAAACAATCTGTATTGAAAAAAGCCCTATATAAATAAAGGTAACTTGACTTGAATGCTAGATGCTCTTGCTATTTGTGTTTACCTGTAGTGTGGCTTAGGTGCTATTTTTGTATAGTTTAACCATCATCAGCCATATATATATATATATATATATATATATATATATATGCTTAATAATATCATGAAAACAATGACGGGGTGAAATGGGATGTGGTGTATGGGGCACCAGGTAAAATATTGCCTAGGGTATAAAGATGAGATAATGAAAAGTGTTCTACAGTTTTGAGTTTCCCTGATATCATTACTTGAACCCTAAGCACGTGTGATCAGGAACTTTGACACTTGACTGAGATAAGAGGAGTTTATGATAACACAATTGGCCAAGAATACAAACCAGCACATACAAAATGTGGATATACCGGTTTGACTAATGAGCCATCACATTAATGAACTTAATAACTTACCGTAAATAATACAGCAATGTACTTGCAATATATTGAAATGGGCAGCATTTTGGTTACTGTATATTTTAAATGTCTTACCTCTGTATTTGATTAAATCATGTAATGTTAATATATCAACCTATCTGAGATTTTCACTCTGTTTGTTACAGGAAAATGTACTGGTGTTTATAATGGTGGTAACAGAACGGAAGGCCACGTGATGACTTAAAGTTGCCTAAAACATTTTTTTTTTTTTAAATGCAACTTCGTCACTGAATTCTCACTTTAAAGGGATACTCCACCCAAAAATGAAAATTCTGTCATCATTTACTCACCCTCAAGTTGTTGCAAACCTGTATGAGATTATTTCTTCTGCTGAACACAAAGGAAGATATTTTGAAGAACGATTGGAACTTTGGCACCATTGACTTTCATAGTTTTTTTTTTTTTCTACTATGGAAGTCAATGGTGCCAAACAACTGTTTGGTTCCAATCGTTCTTCAAAATATTTGTGTTCTTTGTGTTCAGCAGAAAACTCATACAGGTTTGCAACAACTTGAGGGTGAGTAAATGATAACAGAATTTTTATTTTTGGGTGGAGTATCCCTTTAAATTTACCTAACTGATAAGAAAAACAAGGCAAAAAAAGTGATGGTTCATGCAAGGAATTTCCCATAAAGGTGATTCATATATTCATAGTTTATTTGAAATAAATCAGTAAAATACATGGTTGCATTGTTTTTTCACAGCTATTCAATTGTCAGGTTTTTACTGAATTAAAACTTTTACTGAATCCACATAAAAAAAAAAAAACTAAGATTCTTATGTAGGCTAATTATAGGCCCACAGTACGCATACTTCACAATAAACGTTTTATCAAAATATCCTACACATTATTCTACTCCATATGTAACACAGCAGAGCTATAAAATAACTCCAGCAGATAAATAAACTAAACTGTCCTCTGGTTTATTAAATACAAATTTGCTAAACTGAACATGGCTGGTCTTACTCTCTAATTTTTGTCAAGACTGGCCTGTCTGAGAAATCATGTCAGTATTTCTGTAAGAGGCCTTTAAAACTTAGACTCGTGGTAAGATCGAGTTTTCCTAATATCATTCAACACGATATTCAGAACAGTGAAGACATAATAGAGATGCTTCAGTGATACAGTACAGTATAGTACAGTATCAGTCTGCCACTGCCCCAAACTGCCACGTCAAAGACCGTTATGACAGACCTGTAATCTTGAGCTACAGCTGACTTTACTGAATAAAGTCCATATTGAAACACTTCGCCATGGCCAGAATCGATAGATTACCGGTGATAAGGAAGCGCGCGCACCAGCTGTCACTCCAGTGATACAAAGTTACGAAATATTTTCTGCTAGAGACGGAAACTGACGTATAAGCCAAACTTACATGAATGGCGCTGGTAAACCACATTTAAAATAAGGGTGCCTTTCAAAAAACCATCTTTGGTGTGTTTGTTTATTAGTAAATACCAAAATAATAGAGACTTACCTGAGAGAAAACGATGAACTGCGTCCTTTCCTCTGTTGATGTTGAATTGCGTGCCGAGAGTGCCACGTCAAACTCCAGCACAGCGCACCGGTGTCTGCGCGTACACGCGTCATACAGCAGGCGCCTCTGCGCATGCGCACACTGGTGGGAACCACTACACGTCAGCAGCCAAGTACACAGATGTGCGTAGCGAGCAGAAGCCATTCTGTGCTGGCCTGTATAGATATACAGAGAATGAGAAATTGATGAAAACTGTATATAAATTGGCTAAATAAGTTCAGATTATTCTAGACTGCTCATCGTGTGCATATTTTTCTGTTGTTTCGTTTTGTGCACAATGTTGTTGAATGAATTTGAGAGTGCTCCAGTCACTATGGAGAAATATTTTGTTGCAGTTATAATACATTGTATTTTTGAGGGATTCTTAAGACATTATAACATATACTTTTCTAATTCACTATTTCAGGTTTCTTGTTTTCCCATATAGAAAATAGAAACTTAAATAAGTCACAGTCAGATACATCCAAGTCAAACTGTAACCTACTATGAGAACTTAAGGACTACTTTTGATCAGCCTTTTTATTATTATTTATATAATTTTGTCTCCCAGGTTATACCCTTTGTGAAAAAGAGGTACACTTCAGCCTACTTTTAGAAAAAGTTCTTATCACGCAAATAGCCTATTGAAACTTGTATGTCATGTAAAATATAGCCAATTTGTAATTACATTTGTAATTTATTTTATTTGTTTTTATTTGGGAAGCTGAAGATGCAATTTATTTAAATATTAAATTTATTAACTTTAAATGCAGTATCGAATAACACTAAAATAGAATAAAATGTATTTATTTCTATATACATTTATTATATTACATTTTTATTATATAAATAAGTAATTAACATAAGCTTTAGTGTGTTGTCAACTCATCAAAATTAGTGTAGGCTACTTTTTTAAAGCATAGCAAAAGATTATTAAAACATCATCATTTACAATATACTTTATGTACAGTTTTATGCAAACGTCCGTTTTGAAAGTGGTTTAAGAAATATAGTCATGAAAGTGTACTTTCCTTAAGTACACTTAAGTGGCCTTTTGTTTCATTAATATGATATTATCTCCAAGTATTTGAAGTAAAAGTGCACAATAAATACAATTAAGCACACTTTTTTCATAATTATAAGATATGGGAAAATGAACTTCATTAAGTCAGTTCTCTTTCTGTTTGTCTTTGATAGACTGTTCCTGACCCTTAGAGTCGCTTTTACCACAACTTGATCTGTCAAGTTTATTATACTGCAATTTACTGATATTAGCACTGCCGCTTATCTTTTTGACCTCCCACAGATATGAACGGTGGCATTTGGCATGTTAAATATTCTGTCCTTGTGTCTCTGATTGATTTAATCTGATTTTGCTAATGAGCATCTTGATTAGCACTGACACTGCTTTGGCTCTGTGAGACTTCAAACATTGACTTACCTAAAAGTGTTGTTGTCCAGTCACAATGGAAGAATCTTTTTGAGAAGAATACCTTAGAGAATTTTTAAAATGGTATCTATAAAAAACCCTCTATATTTAAAATAAATGGCTAGGCTTTTCAGCAATAATTAAACAACAAAACAATTCATGAAACAACAAAAGTGAAAAAGCTAACATACATAATATCAAAATATTGGTTTGGCCAACAGAAATGTCCCGAGAACACTTTATTCTGTTAAATTGCAATTAACATGCAGTAATGTGTCCGAAAACCTTACATTCAGTTTATAAATTTTATAGCATATTATTTCTGAAATAAATACTCTTTTTAGAAGTATGCAGGGCATTTCCCCCGAGGAGGCAAGGGAGGCAGTGCCTCCTCAAAAAATTGGATGTGAAAATAATCCATATCACAAAAATAAAACAACTCAAATATTACAAAATGTGACATTAAAAGTGTATAAATCACATGTTTTTCTAAAGTAACTCTGTTACCTCATTCATTAAGAATGAATGAGGAAATGACACCTGAGAGGAGGCAATGCCACCATCCCGCTAGTATGATATGATTGGTTAATGCGATAAATCCTGGCTCTTGTCTTCTGCTTTTGCTAATAAGCTAATGGGAAGACTAATTAAAGTAAGTAAACAACTCAGACAGCCTTAGCCATCATCGCTTTGTCACGTCAAAAAACTTGAAATGGCCTGAAAATAAATTGACTATTAGAACAGCTATTATTATATACTTGGTTTTAATAAATAGATCATTAATAATATTGTTAATGTAAAAATACAAAATAGGATTGCATTTATTTTCTTTTTTAATGTAATGCAGCTAATGTTTATTTAACCAGGAAATGTGACAAGGCTAACTGGGACATGAATTTACATTTGATTTATTAAAAAAAAAGTTTTTAAAAATCTGTGAGGACTTTGCCTCCTCATTTCAGAACACCACTGCACGACACGCCACTTCAGCCAAAAGTGTAGCATATTTTTCACAAAGTTGAACCAGAGATTTTCCTCCTCGGGGAGTTTTATTTAATACGCACTTGAAACGCTATGTGGTGCGTTGCTTTTCAGTGTCGGTTAAACCTGCGTACAAGTCAAGAACAGTTCCTCTCCTTTAGTCTCTGAAATGGATGACGCCGAAAAGAGGGCCGGACTCCAGATGTTGTGGATTTACACCCACCAAAGCCAGCCTCCGATATCTCACTGAACAAACTGAACAAACTGGATTCCTCTCAGACTGGAGGACCGCTTCAGGAGGATGGGCACGGGGGAGTTTGTGTGCGTGACGCTGCGTGGCGGCGCGCCGTGGGGATTCAAACTCCTCCAGAACGCGCAAGACCCTCAACATCCTCTCCATGTGCTTGAGGTGAGACTACATGCTACTATTGTGATGATGGTGACTCAATTTTTAGTACGTGTTGGCAGAGGACCTAATGACGCTGATGAATATCCATAGTTTTCTTTTTCTTTTATTGTAGGCTAGCTGTTTCTCCTATTTCTCATTGGAGGATTTAAATGCTATAATAAAGCACACAAATGCCCTTTCACAAGACCCTGGTGGTCTTATAGCTTTAGTAGGGTTTTGGGCACTTTTAGCTGGATAGACATGGGATGCCAATTGCTAAACACCAGCGTGGACAGACTGAGATATTAGCTAAAACCAGCAAACCAACTTAGGCTGGCTTAAGTAGCTCTTATCATCAGGGTGAAAGTTTTCTGAAGTTGATGTTAGGCAGCATTAAAGTTTTGCTAGGCAGCATGAAAGTTTTGGTGATAAAGTCTTGGATAAAGGTGAGTTTAATGTACATTTGAGAATATGTGGAAGATAATTGGCTGCTCCTGAGAGTTGTCTTTATAGCCATGGATGAAGGTTTTATATAAATATAGGTCTTTCTCTTATTTAGGAAATAACACAAAACAATGTCTGTCTTTGATGGATATGGGCAATGTTGTAAACAGATTCTTGCTTAATGACAACATATCTTAGTGGCCACCCGCTGAGTTCAAATTCGGCAGTTGTTTTGATAAATGTTCACTGCCAAAGTTGTTTTTCTTTAGCTGAATTTTACAGGGAGATCTGTGCTGTGCAGTCTCTGCCTGTCCCAGACTTCAGCAAGGGTCCTTATATGGTCACAGCAAAGCTAACAATGTTTGTTGGCCAAGTACAGGGTATCTGTCATCACTCCCATAGATATCAAGAATCTAAACTGTTAGTATTGAGAGGCTGGAATAATCTGTTGATCTTTTTTTACTAGAGAGGAAACCTTGATTTAGTGATAATGAGCATTAGTAAAACATATTTTCTTATATCAGCAGGTTTTGTGAGTGTCAAATTAGAATATATGAATATTCTGCATGTTTTATGGAAATGCTCAACACAGTCTCTGTCCCTGCATGTGGAGACAAAGACATACTGTGTGTTTATACTCAAAATTATTTGCTTACTTAACAGCTTAACAAGTTTAAAAGATCTTCAAAGACATGGAATAGTATAACAGTATGTTTAAAGGGATAGTTCACCAAAAATATACAATTGTGTCATTATTTACTCTCCCTCATGTTGTTCCAAACCTGTATGATTTTCTTTCTTCTGCTGAACACAAAAGAAGATATTTTAAAGAATGTTGGTATTGGAAACCAGACATTTGATGGACCCCATTGACTTCCATATAAGAAAAAAAATACTATGGAAGTCATTGGCTTCAACTGATGTGTGAGTTGATGAATGTTTACATGTGAATAAAAGCCTAAATTAAATCTGTTCATCATTAAAGCGATCGAGTCTCTTATCATATCGACACACGGGTGAGTAATTAAAGACAGAATTGTCCTTTTTGGGTGAACTATCCTTTATAAAGCACACTTGGAACACCGCTCGCCCAAATCGGATTAGAGGACCGGAACTTACTCTTGCATAAATTACAAATAGATGTTTCAAATCCACATGTTGCTTATTGAAATCCAACTCTTGTGTCCATCAATGTAGGCTAACTGATGACACATACCTAAAGAAATACTCTGGTAAATGTAGCTACTGTATAGGTACAAGAACTGACAGATAATTGACAATAACAGTCATGAGTCTGAGGTCACCTAGTGGATGATCAGTGTTCCTGGCCAGTGGAAAAAATAGTTAAAGGTTCTCTAAGCGATCCTGGGTGACGTCACTTCTTGTTGACGTTCGAACTATTGTCAAACAAAACGGAGGCTAGCTAGACCCTCCCTCCTCCTCATCCGCACACTAACCCCCCAAACCACACCCCCAAACCCTTCTTGTCGGTCATTGGCTGGAATAGTTTATTATGTTTCAGGGAGCGGGTCGCTGCAGTTTGCTTTTGTTGCTGTTTGTGGAGCCTGGGCTGTCTACAGAGATCGCGTTTCTTTACAGTGTGTTCAGGGGACAGGCAGCCAGCGGTTAGTGAGGAGATGTTTGCTGTATGTGACAAAAAAATTTTTGCCCTAAAAAACGCGTGACATCGCTTAGAGCACCTTTAAGCAATAATTTCTTTCTCAGCTGAAAAGCTCATTTATGTGTAACTCCATAAAGTGTCTTTCACAAAATATAGTCATATTTTACAATTCAGTAAAACAGTAATAGCCATTAGTGTGGCCCCTTACAGGCTGTTTTTAGTATAGACTCCCACACT